AGCAGCATCTCAGTGATTGCTTTGGCTACTTGCATCACAGCAGCCCCCACAGAAGATTTGCCCACGCCAAATTGATTCCCGACTGACCGGTAGCTGTCTGGCGTTGCAAGCTTCCACAGGGCTATCGCCACTCGCTTCTCAATTGTGAGGGCTGCTCTCATCTTGGTATTCTGGTGCTTCAGGGCAGGGGAAAGCAAGTCACAAAGTTCCATGAAAGTGACCTTACGCATGTGAAAGTTTCGCAGCCACTGGGAATCATCCCACTCCTGCAACACTATGCAGTCCCACCAGTCTGTGCTTGTTTCCCGGGCCCAGAATCGGCGTTCCACGGCTATAACCTGCCCCATTAACAGCATGATCTCCAAAGCACCGGGGCCCGCGGTTTGATAGAATTCCATGTCCATGTCCTCTTCACTCTCGCCGCCGCGCTGCCGTAGCCTACTCCTCGCCACCTGGTTTTGCAGGTTCTGGTTCAGCATAAACTGCATGATAACGCGCGAGGTGTTTACAATGTTCATGACTGCTGTTTTGAGCTGAGCGGGCTCCATGCTTGCCGTGGTATGGCGTCTGCACTGCTCACCCAGGAAAAAGGCGCGAAACGGTTGTCTGCCGTTGCTTCCCTGGAGAGGGGGGAGGATGTACCCAGAACCACCCACAATAATGTTTTTGGCCCTATCAGGCATTGGGATCTCAACCCAGAATTCCAATGGGCGGAGGAGACTGCGGGAACTATGGGATAGCTATGGGATAGCTACCCACAGTGCAACGCTCCGGAAATCGACGCTAGCCCCGGTACATGGACGCACACCGCCGAATTAATGTGCTTAGTGTGGCCGCATACATTCGACTTTATACAATCTGTTGCCAAAATTCGAATTATATAAATTCGGATTAATCCCGTAGTGTAGACATACCCTTAGAAGGAATCTTAAGTGCCTCATAGTTATTTATTTTTAAACATAAAGCCAAATTTTTAAAATGTCAAATCTTTGAGACACACAGTATTACTTTTCAGAGGGGAAAAGAAAAAGCCATCTTCCTGATGCTGCTGTAGCTCCCCTATTGCCCTTGTACTCTGTTGCAAAACAGCTTGTCTACTTAGCTAAAGTGCCATAACTGATCTATTCCATTTACAATACTTTGGCAGCATAAAAAGGCTGGCACGCCATGGCATTCTCCAAGTGGACTTCTACTGCCCATCCCCTCAAGCAGTTCCTGGTATACAGGCATGACAAAAGTGTGATCAGAATACTCTGCATTCAAACTATGATGGTTGCCTGGAGGTCAAATAGTGAACCATTTCAGGTACCGTTAAGTTGGGGCAGCCCCTAGGCTGGTCTAATATATACGAGGAACCATACTGGCCCCTGGAACAGCACACAATTTGGGCAGCAAAAAGGAGGTTTTGGCCCCTTCTGGGCTGTCTCTCCTATTCTGGGGTGTACACAAGATGCAGCTCAGAATCTGGCCTCTGACCTCTAAGGTAACTGGACTCTAAGGCTCAGTTCAGCAAGAAACTTATGTAGGTTCTTAACTTTAAGCATGTCAGTAGTCCCATGGACAATTCATGTTAAGGACATGCTTAGGTACCTTGCTGAATTGGGTCCTAAATCACTGAGAACTTTATAGAACTTAACCAACCCCAGATGTCAGGAACATATTAATATACTGATTTTTTCAATACTATTTAATAGGAGCTTGCATACTACATTTTCTCAAATAGTAATAATTATCAATGGTTTCCTGTCAAACAAGGAAGATATAACTAGTGGGGATCTGCAAGGATCTATCCTGGGTCTAGAACTATTAAAAATTTTCATGAATGACTTGGACAGTTCATTTATAAAATTTGCGTATGACACCAAGCGGGGAGGGGTTGCAAGCACTTTGGAGGACAGGATTAGAATTCAAAATGACCTTGATAAATTGGAGAATGGGACTGAAATCAACAAGATAAAATTTAATAAAAACAAGTGCAAAGTACTGTACTTAGGAAGGAAAAATCAAATGCACAATTATAAAATGGGGAATAACCAGTTAGGTAGTAGTAATGCAAAAAAAGATCGGAGGATTATAGTGAATCACAAATGAATATGAGTCAACAGAGTGATGCGGGTGCAAAAAAGGCTAATATCATTCTGGGGTATATTAACCAGAGTGTCATATGTAATGCAGAGGAGCTAATTGTTCCACTATACTCAGCACTGGTGAGTCGCATCTGGAGTACTGGCTCCAGTTTTGGGTGCCACACTTTCAAAAAGATACAGACAAATTGGAGAAAATCCAAAGGACAGCAACCAAAATGATAAAGGTTTAGAAAACCTGACCTAGGAGGAAAGGTTAAAAATATGGGTATATTTCATTTTGAGAAAAGACTTGCATGGGGGGACCAGATAACAGTCTTGAAATATGTTAAGAGCTGTTATAAAGAGGACAGTGATCAATTGTTCTCCATTCTTACTGAAGGTCAGATAAGAAATAATTAACTTAATCTGCAGCAAAGGACATTTAGGTTAGATATTAGGAAAAACTTTCTAACTATATGGATATTTAAGAACTAGAATAGGTTCCCAAGGGAGACTGTGGAATCCCCATTATTTTTAAGAACAGGTTAGACAAACACTAAACAAACTGTTTTAAAGAAAAGGTTACTCAAATGCCTGTCAGGGATGGTCTAGGTATATTTGGCCCTGCCTCAGCACATAGGGAGAACTCCAGCCCTACATTTCTATGATTTTAACTTGTATAAATGTAGACGATCAGTATACATACTATAACATTGCTGTCCTTCTTACTTGTGAGATGGATTCAGCCAAGGATGTGCCTCTTTTGTTTCTTGGTTCTGGAACAGTTGAAGGAATTCCTGGTAATTTAATGTAGAGTTCAGGTTCATGCCCAATATACCAAGTAGTCGTGAGTACTCCTCATCTGTAAGGATGAACACAAAGCTCTCCAGGAGGTGTCGAAAATCAAGCATGTTGATGATACCATCACGGTTACTATCTGTTTTACGGAAGGCAGAGTAGGTGTCCTAACAAAGAATATTTAACTGAATGTCAATGCTTGAACTTTCAGATAAAACACATTAGTTATAAATTTCAAAATAGAAACACTGAATATTCATTACGGATTTATTTTGACAACAGGCAAAATATAGTAAGGCAGTTTGATGGTATATAACACCTCCTTACAAGACTCTACATTGTCAACCTACTTCACATATAAAGCTAATGTAACATATTCTATCATTGCCCCTAAATTAACTGAAGTCCTTCCCCCCTCATTACAAACAAGTACTGAACTGATGTACTACTTGGGAGCCAATCTGCAAGCCATCTACACATATGGCCAATTGGATCCTGGCTCCCATCAACTCTATAATGAAAAAACACCTTATTTCTATTTTTTTGTCACACACTTAGATGAAACCATTATGAGACAAGACCTTTCAAAAATGAATGTCCCTCCAGAACTGTTTCCCTCCATTAAAATGGGTAAAAAATATCAGAGTGAATTTAAAAGTTATAAGTTTTCAGAAATCATTTATTATAGAAAAGACAGTTACCTTTTCCATAACTGGTGTTCTTTGAGATGTGTTACTCATGCCTATTCCACAATAGGTGTGCGTGCTCACCACATGCACCGGTGCCAGACGTTTTTCCCCTAGCAGTACCCGGAGGGGAGCACATCTAGCGACCCCTGGAGTGGCGCCGCCATAGCGCGGTATAAGGGAGGCTGTGCACTCCCCCTACCCTCAGTTCCTTCTTGCCAGATAACTCCGACAGAGAGGAAGGAGGGCGGGATGTGGAATAGACATGAGCAACACATCTCGAAGAACACCAGTTACGGAAAAGGTAACTGTCTTTTCTTCTTCGAGTGATTGCTCATGTGTATTCCACAATAGGTGATTCCAAGCTATATCTGTTGGAGGTGGGTAGGAGTTTACAGACTCTCAGGATGGAACACAGCGCTGCTGAACTCGGCGTCTTCCCTGGTCTGGGAGACGATCACATAATGCGAGATGAATGTGTGAATGAAAGACCATGTGGCAGCCCTGCAAATGTCCTGAATGGGGACATGGGCTAAAAAGGCAGCCGATGAGGCTTGCGCCCTAGTCGAGTGTGCCCTCACAATAGAGGGATTCCCGCCAGGTCATAACAGGTACAGATACATGAGGTGATCCAGTTGGAGAGTCGCTGAGTGGAGATCGGCCGACTCCTCATGCGTTCGGCCGAGGCGATGAACAGCTACGAAGACCTCCTGAATGGCTTAGTCCCCTCCAGGTAAAAGGCCAGAGCTTTGAACTCCTTCCTGTCATGCTCCTGGAGGAAGTCCTCGAATTTGGGTAGAGAGCCCCACAAATTGAACTCATACTGACCCAGGAGAGCCCAATGGTTCACCACCCTTAACTGGAAACTCGAGGACAAATAAACTTTTCTCCCAAATAAGTCCAGCCTCCTTGAGTCTTTATTTTTCGGAGTAGGGGCTGGTTGGCCCTGCCTCTCCCTGCGGTTGACCGACTCAACCACAAGGGATTTGGGGGGAGGGTGGGTGTACAGGTATTCATGCCCCTTGGCGGGCACAAAGTACTTCCATTCTGCCCTCTTAGAGATGGGGGGGAAGGAAGCCGGGGTTTGCCACAAGGCATTTGAAATTTTTGCTACCCCTTCATGGAGAGGGAGGGCCCAGTACCGAAGCTGATAGGACATTGAAGAGGGAGTCCGAGGGTTCCTTCACCTTCTCAGCCTGAAGGTTGAGGCTTGATGCTACCCTTTTCAATAGATCCTGGTGGGCCTTAGAGTCCTCCTGAGGAACAGAGGAAGAAGGGGCAGTAATTGCCTCATCAGGGGAGGATGAGGATGCAGGTGCGGTACTTTGCGTACCCACCGGTACCGGAGGCCCCACCACTTGGTCACCCTCTGGGCGCGGAACTGAAGATGCACGCCCCCCCGACTTCTTTCTGGGAGAGGGAGGCCGACGGTCTCTCCGAGGTTCCAGCCACCGAGAGAGCCCCCACTGGGGGCTGCGTCAGCGGCCACAGGGTCCATTGGTACCACGGTGCCGGCCAAGGAGCCAGGTGCCACTGCACCTGCTGTGGCGCTAGTGGAGCAGGCTGTTCAGCCTGACTAGCCTGTCCCATTGACTGATGGCTACAAAAGGAGGCTGGGCTGGCATACAACCTGCTGCTGTCCCTGGGCCAGGAGGAGCAGTGCCGTCAGGAACGGTGCCGACCACGAGACCGTGATCGCGACATAGCAGCTGCTTCGCGATTGGCTCCGGCGGGCTGATCCACGACAGCAAGGTGCCAGCGACTGACGTCCAGGACTGCAGGAGCGGTGCCACGGCAGAGTCCTGGAGCGAGACGATGAACAGGAATGGCATCAACGCCCGTATCGCGACGGGCTAGGATAGCCTCTCGGAGACGAGGACCTCCGGTGCCGTCTGTCTCAGTCTCGACGTGACCCACTCCGCTTGTGAGGTCTATGGTCCCTCGAGGCAGAGTGGTGCCTGGAACCCCTGTCAGTCGGAATGCAGCGAGACAACCTGGTGGGGGTCGATGGGGACCAGCGCGGACTGCGCACGGAGTGGTTGCTGAGCAGTGAACGGCATCAAAAACATTCCCTCAACCGTGAACAGTACCGACCAGACAGTGACTGCGGAGATCCAAGCGGTGGCTTGCCTCTGGACTGGGAAGCCAACGGTAGTGGTGCCCCTGGTACCACAGAGACATAATGTCCCGGCATGGAGGGCACCTGGACATCCGGGGAAGCCTGCATCGAATGGGCCGGGCTACTCCGCTCAACCTGAGTTGGAGGCCTAGAGGCCGACGGGGACTGAGAACTGCCCAATGTGGGTCTAGTCTCTCCTCAAGTCTTCCTCCGGTGCCTCGGTGGAGAAGACCTCTTCTTAGCCTTCTTGGCATGCCCCGTGGATGGGGAGTGGTGCCAACTGGTGGAAGGCACCGAAGGATCGCTGCGCACCGACACCGTGGTACCCGGCGCCGACTTGGAGCGGTGCACCGGAGTCGGGGTCAACACTGACTCCATCAGAATGGCTCGAAACCAAATGTCCCTTTCTTTCTTGGTTCGAGGCCTGAAAGATCTGCAAATCTTGCAGCCATCGCTGAGATGGGTTTTCCCCAGATAGTGTAAACAGTCCGCATGCGGGTCACTCACTGGCATCGGCTCCCTGCAAGTGTCACACGACTTAAAGCACGCGGCACGGGGCATGCCCCGACCCAGGCGCACTAAACTAAACTAATCTAGACTACTTTAACTACAGGTTCTACTAACTATGAACGAACAAGACTTCAAGAGGAAAGCCACAGACAAGCTGGAGCAGAGTAGTTCTGATGCATCTTCACTGGTGGCAAGAAGGAACTGAGGGTGGGGGGAGCACGCAGCTCCCTTTATACCGCGCCATAAAGGTGCCACTGCAAGGGGTTGCTGGGGCGCTCCCCTACGGATACTGCTAGGGGAAAACTTCCGGTACCAGTGCACCTGGCGAGCACACACACCTATTGTGGAATACACATGAGCAATCACTCGAAGAATGGCCAGCCTTGCCACGGGGTGCTTTAGTTGGTCTAAACATAGGATCTTTGAATATTGGTGTATTAGTCGTGTCAGGAGAACAGATGGAACTGAATTCAGCAAAAGGATAATGATTAAATATTCTTTTGTTTTGCAAATGCTAAAAGAAATGATCGTTTCTCTTATTCTATACATGTGTATGTTAGGATTTCAACTGATAAATTTTAATGATAATTATTTAACAATTAAAAAGTAAATGTAGAAAAGGAAGTAATTCTTACCACAATAATACCATGACGGTGGGACAGATGCTAGGATGGTCTAAATGAGCACGGCTCCATTGTTTTTTGCCTATATACACATCACCAGAAAATCTGATTTGGCCCAGTAGTTCTGTGCTGTTGTCACAATGCCCTGTCTATATTCAGTGGCTGGCCATGAGAATAGCCCTACACTCCTATCATGGCAGCAGCCAGCTCTTGATTGCATCAAGTCCTAACAAGAGGATACAATGCTGTGTTGCCACTGGTCAGTGCATCAGCCAATAATGATGGGGCATGGTGGGCTCCTATCCAACGGGGCACTTTTCACCAATTACCTTTGTTTTTTAATGTCATTTTAATAATAAGCTGTTTGATTTCAATTCCTTGTGAGACCAGTGCTTTCTTCCAGGACCTCTAGATTTTTACTGGTGGCATCTCTGGAAAAATCTGCTTTCTTGCTTAAGGGTACTGCATTGCTCATTGAAATCTTTAGGCCTCATGGGTCTGATCTTTTCTCCTGTTAGTAATCACACTAACGGGGCTACTCACATGTCTAAGAAGTGCAGAAGAGCTGTTTACTTTTGTTGAAATGTAAATAAATATTTTCTTAAACTGTGGCTATAGCTGAAAAAGAGAGTATATAAAAAACTGCTTTTATTTTCCCAATAAAAAAGCTTTTTATTTGTAGCAGTGCTAAATCAATATAGATATGGAAGATTCGTCTGGACTTTGTTCTTTGTGGACCATCAACATGTCTGTTCCGATTCTGGTTGCACGGTCTTTACTAGTAGTGACAATAAAAGAATTAGAAAAAATATTTTGGGTTTCAGATTCCAAGAAGAGTTTGCAGGGATAGCAATTAGAAAATCAGCTTTTGAATTGTAAACTGAGTACGGTATGTTTGCTCTGGAAGTCACTGAAAGAGAATAAACATTGAACCCCAATATCATTTTTATAGAGTCACTTTTCTGACAACTCCACTTAAAAATACAACAAATATTTTTAACATAACTAGCTATATTGTCAAAAATAATCAACAGTTGCATTTATTTACCCCATATCCTTCCATCAGTTTATCATTAAATTGACTTAGACATTCTTCAGCAGTCATGTAGTGAAATTTAGTGCTATTTACTCGGTGTTTTGGACTGCAATATAATGTAGCTCCTGGTCCATTCAGTCTGGGATCTGAAATAATTAAAGCAGAGTAAAGCAATCTGTGACTTTAATATCTTTTTCTTTAGTATTAAACAAACTGGACCAATGGAGTTGTCTTATTTATTTATCATACACAATACATTGTTTTAAAAAACCCTATCACATTCTTTAGGCTTCACACATTACATACTTCCTTAGTTGTATACAGTATTAGTAAATGTCCATCTGATTTACAGAAATTGCCTCAGCTCCTGCTTTATTCAATGGTACAGTGGTTTCTTCCAGTGAAAGCAAAAACAAAACAACAAAAAAACCTCCAGGCCCCCATGGGTAAGCTCTAGTGCAGAAGGCACAGTTGAGGTGGAACTTTCTGTTATTGTTTTTTGCTTTTACTTTAGCCTTCTTTGGTTCCTGAGTATTGCTCTGAATGAGGATGGTATCAAACTGGAGGAGAGGATGGAGTCCAGGAGAGCTGTGACTGGTCTTCATCTTGCCTGTCTGAAGGTATGTCTAGACTGGCACTGGAAGATGTAGGTTCCAGCTCGGGTACACAGAGTCATGCTAGCTGGGATTGAGCTAGCATGCTAAAAATAGAAGTATAGCTGTGGCAGTGCAAGCGTCGGGAAGGGCTAGCTGCCTCGAGTACATACTTAGGGGGTTTCAGACGGGATTGTATTCAGGGCGGCTAGCCTGTCTAGTTGCTCTTGCTGCGACGGCTACACTTCTGTTTTTAGCAGCATGCTAGCTCAATTGGAACTAGCATGGGTATATCTACCTGAGATGGAAATGACACCTTCCAGGTCCAGTCTAGACACACCCTGCGTGAGAAGGAACACAGGTTCTGCATTGCTGCAGAAAGTGCCACAGAAATGAATTTGTGACCCATTTTCAACTGCACCACCACCGCCCACTCACTGCACACTAACCCATCTCCCTTGAAGTCATTCTAACATACCCAAACCTTCAGTAGCTTCAAACAGCCACGAGCAACTAAATAAATCTGACAGCAAAGTACTTCTTCCTTCTCAGCCCAACTGTGGAATTTCGCCCCCCAAATTACCACATCTGAGGGCCAGGGCAGGTGAGATTCAATCCTGCACAAGTGCCAGCTTTTCTATGTCTATAATCTCACAGCCCTGAAAGATCACGAAGAGGAGACTGCCAGCTTCCTAGTGAGGGACACTACATTTACTTCTAAATCCTGGAAGGGCCATGATATTTTTAGGCAATAGAAAAGCTATTTTGAGTCACTGTTACAGGTTATTATAGCTCCTTCTGTTCCCTGTGCAGCTGGACTCATGGTAACTAAGGTATCTGGTTTACGAGAGAGGGAAATGAAAAATAGTCTAAATAACATGTTTTAACTCTCTAAAGCATTTTAAAAATAGTTTTCCTGCAACATTAGTGGCATATACAGAATAGATGGCAGTGCAGTGAGGTGGAAAGGTTTTATTGGCACTTGTTTTGGAGAACAAACTCTTGTTAATTAAACCTTCCCATACCATGCTGCCATGTATTCTCTCTCGCTAGATATAGATACACACTGTCATCATAGATACACTCTGTATAACTGAACGTATACGCAATTTTTTTTGTTTGTGTTGATATATATATATATATACTTAGGCATATATATAATATACCTAAGTAAGGGATTGATCCTGTAACCCTTTCTCCTATGAATAATTCTATTAAAGTCAAAAGGATTGCACACAAGTGGGGTGTTGCAGGATCACAACCTATAGGTTTTGGCCTTTCAGAATCACGAAACCAGAAGACCCAATGATACAAAAGTAGTTCACCAGGAGATTAAATACTGTAGCAGACCTGTAGGTTCATCATCATCCATATGTTCAACAAATTCCTCATATGTTTTATAATTTCAAAGTATTTTTGTTTCACTTGAACTTTAAAAATGAGATAAACTTATACAGAAAAATGTATGTCCTGACATTTTCCCCCTCAAAATTTTTCTTATTAATCAGTTAAATAAACAGAACCTCCCAACAGAGTACTTCTTTTCTTTTTAAAATCTATATGTATTTTAACCCACTGAGACACAGACATGAGGACAAAAATAACTCGGAAATATCAAAAACACTATCCTTCCCTCCCGCAAACAAACCATCAAAAGCCATCCACTGTGGGCCTTTCTGTTTCCTGGACTTGGACTTCTCAAAGTCCCTTCCAGCCCTACATTTCTATGATTCTCATTTTTATCCCCTGCTTTCCCCCTGCTTTATACACATCCAGTCTTTTGGGACCTGACCCTGCACTATTCATTCAGGCAACATTCCTACTGAAGATATCATCTCACTAAAGTCAATGGGAGTTTTACTTACATAAAGAAAGTAGGATAATGCCAGATATCAATAGTATTTCTAACTGCGTGCTCAAATCATTTCCCCCAAAAAATCATGAGATTGACTTAAAATCATATTTTAATAAAATAATACATTCATTTTTTCTCTGCCTTCTGTTTTTTAAACCTCTATGTAAAATCTGGGTAATTTTCCTCTGCAACTATGATGATTGGTAACTTTTTTTAAAAATGAAAGTAGAGATTCTCACAACTCCCAGGAACTGGGGCCTTAAGAAAAAGACCAAATACCACAAGACTCCTGATTAAATCACTGCAACACTGCTCTAGCGAATATGTCCAGTTTTACTTTGATCGTACAGATGTTACCTTGCTTTCAGGCATATTTTACTAGGCTCTTTGAGCCAGTATAAGATGTTCTGATGGACAGATGGTTGGACAAGGTCAAAATTATGAATGTTAGGGCTGATACAAGGAATGCCTTAATACTGCATCAGCCAGCTACAAGTCAATTCTTCCCCTTCTTCTATATCTAAAGCCAGGTGAAATAATGGCAACTTCTAGCAGTGCAGAAATCAGAATTGTACACCTTTGAGAAAAATGATAAAAAAAAAGTCATAATACAGGTGAAACAGGCCCCACCGCAGTCAATGGCAAAACTCCCATTGACTTCAGTGGGGTCAGGATTTCACCCAGAAAATATGGAACTAAAGCAGAAAAGTAAGAGAAAAATATATAAAAGAAAGTAGGAAGAAGTAATTACCTATGACACTCATGTTTCCCCTATTGCTCCTGGATCTAACTGTTGCCTGGGAAAATGAACTATATGATTGTTTCTTGTCTGGACCAGATTCTGCTACCCTTGCTCATGTTGCCCTGAAATCAATCTGCCTGCAGATGGAGTGAGGTTGTCAGGGTGACAGAGTCTATCCCTACAGTATGTAGATATTCACCTTCTCTATCTCCCTGAGAAAAGCCAATTGCCAAGAATGGCAACAAAAATCAGGTTAAAGAATGCGAAACTAGTGATCCTAGCAGGACACATCATATTACTACTTAGATTGCAAGCTCTTTGTAGCAAGAACCATCTCCTCATGATATGTTTGTGCCGTGTACATGTTGTGTACAAACACAGTGGAACCTTGATCCCTCCCTGGGGCTTCCAGGCACTACCATAGGCGCCGACTCTGTGGGTGCTCCGGGCGGGGCGCGAGCCCCCTCCAGCACCAGTGAAAGTTGGCGCCTATGGGCACTACAATAATAATGAATAAGGCCCTACCAAATTCACGTCCATGAAAAACTCATCACGGACCATGAAATCTGGTCTCCCCTGTGAAATCTGGTCTTTTGTATTTTACCCTATATATTATACAGATTTCACAGAGGAGACCAATGTTTCTCAAACTCAGGGCCGGCGCAACCCATTAGGCGACTTAGGTGGTCGCCTAGGGCGCTAACATTTGGGGGGCAGCGACCGCGGCAGCCGGATCTTCGACCGCCCCAGTCGTCGGCGGTATTTCGGGGATAGGACCTTCCGCCGCTTCTGTCGGGGGCAGCATTTCGGGGGCAGGACCTTCTGCTGCCTCTGTCGGGGGCGGCATTTCGGGGGCGGGACCTTCCGCCACCTAGGGCGGCAAAAAGCTGGCGACGCTCCTGCTCAAACTGGGGATCCCAACCCAAAGAGGGCAGCGGGAGGGTTGCAAATTTATTGTAGGGGGGTCACAGTATTGCCACCCTTACTTCTGCGGTGCCTTCAGAGCTGGGTGGCCAGAGAGCAGTGGCCGCTGGCAGAGGACCCAGCTCTGAAGGCAGGAGCACAGAAGGGTGGCAATACAGCGCCCCCCCTACAATAACCCTAAGACTCTTCCACAATCCCCTTTGGGGTTAGGATCCCTAGAGTTACAACACTGTGAAATTTCAGATTTAAACAGCTGAAATCATGAAATTTAAGATTTTTAAAATCCTCTGACTGTGAAATTGACCAAAATGGACCATGAATTTGGTAGGGCCCTAATAATGAATTATTATTAATAATATTACTGATAAACACACTTTTTACATTAAAAAATAAACTTTAAATTTGGACAGAACAAAAGCTATACAAAATCAGTCCAAATATAGATGAAATTTTGTTAAAGTTTGTTCCTGAGCTTAGAACATTTATTATAGCTGAGGTACATTATAACCCCCATCAGGTAATACCGAAAGCAATGACTGATACAATCCTTGCCTACACTTTACTGGTTTATTGAGATGCACACAACAAATAAAAAGGGTTGCCTCTCCAAGATTCTGGGCACCCCTGTAATAAAACAAATGAAATTAAACTCCAGCAGACTCCACATTCTGCTTCCTACTACAATTCTAATTTCCCTCAACAGCCCCCTTCTGCAGCAGCTTCTGCATATAGATGTGCCTTTCAGCACGCACTTAAGGTCAACCGATTTCGGCTATCTCAGATCAGGGGGAAGCCTGTTTCAAAGCGGAGTGTTTTTCATGGAGCAAGTTCTACTTCCAGCCCCTTTCTTTTAAATGAAGGGGGATCCAGCTGAAGCACCTCTGCTGATCACAACAGTGGCATTATGGCAGGAGAGGAGAGGAAGTCTCTCAAGTAACAAGGTCCCCAGCCATTTATGGCTTTATAAATTAAAAGCAATACCTTCAATTCAATCCACAAACCAAAAGATAGCAGTGCAGATCATGGCGCACCAGGGACATGTGCTATCACTGAGAAGCACCATATGCAAGCCACTATATTTTGCACCAGTTTACATTTTCAGGTTGACCTGAAGTGTAGCTCCACATAAAGCAGATTGCAGTAATCCAGTCCTGAAGTGACAAAGGAATGGATCATGGTACAGAGTTCCATATCTGAAAGAAGCGGTTGCAATCTTTTGGCCAGGCTCAAGTGGTAAAAAAGCCTTCTTGGACCATACTGCTGTAAAATCATCCAACAGCAACTGGGGTGCCAATACTAAAGCTCTTAAGATTCTGAGCTCAACTAATGGATAATGGGAGCCACCCTCAATCAAAGGGGGAGAGATCAGCCTCTTCTGGTTGCTTTCCACACCCTACAATTATCATCTCAGTCCTATCTGTACTGAGCTTTAACCAGCTCACCCTCATTCATGTTCCAATCTCACTCACATACTGGGTTAGATGATCAACAGCTTGGCTGGATCAGGAGTGACAGGGATATGTAGCATCCTGACCACAACGTGGTCTATATCTTCTCAATTACCCACCTAATGGCCCTCTACAATATTGAGAGAGAAAAGTCCATGAAAGATTTGTTTTATGTAAGATTGTCATTAATGTTCATCTACCTTCAAATACTGCTACAAAATCAAGATAACTCAGCCCTCCATTTGGGAATCCTAATTTCTCAGTCAGTAGATTAAACTGGCTATCATCCATTGGCATCCCATGATCTTCCAACACCTGTCAAAGTGAAAAAAACAAAACAAAAGGGAAATAAGAAAATGTTTGTTCCTTACATGCCATCCTTTCAAATAAATGTCTGGGCTCCTTGGTGTACATTTTCAAAGGACTGTATGGGGTTTTGATTACATAGCTAAACTTGGATAGGTCTGAACATTTACCTCTTCTCTTTATATTTATGGTAACCATGGTTTATATAGAGTTGAAATTATAGTACTTAGATATAAATTTAATAAGAGGAACCACATCCTTCAGCAGGTGAGAGTTCCAAATATACCATCCAAATATTCATGAAGCCTGAACCTGCCTAGCTTATGAGATCTGATGGTAGCACAAATGGGTGCAGATATATGATTATTTTTGTTCTTTATTCTTTGTGTACTAACAACCCTTAAAAGAGGCATACATAATCTGTAGGGTGTCAGAAGAACAGTGAGGTTAGTAAAACAGTCAATTAAGGGCTTTCAGTGTTATACCAAAACCTTAAATCCAACTTTCACACAGACAGCTAATGCAAAGAAAAAAGCAGCAGGTAGGTGGAGTTCCCTCTGCCTACCAGTAATGTTAATCATACTGCTGCATTAGCTCCAGGCAACAAAATAAGCCTTTTAGGTACCACATTGTAGAACACACTGCAGTAATCCAAAGCCAATGTCCCAAAGGTATGTAGCACAGAACAGCATGTGGGAGGCAAGGCTGCAATTTTATTCTTAATACATGCATTAATTATTAATTATTATTATTATTATTAACAATAAGACAAAGAAATAACATTTTACAATTACTTAGCACCTCTCATTTCAGAGCACTTCTGCAATGCACACATAGAATCACAGAAATACATCCACCGCTGGGAGGAGGAGAGCAGCCAGATGAAGAAGTGCACAGCATTCTGCACACTGATGGGAGATGAAATTTTTACTGGCAAACCAAGGTAAACCTCGTCTCATAAGAAGTCCTAAGGGAGCTGTGCTGCTATTTTTTAAAGGTCTCACTGACATGGTAAATCCTGTTTTCACCACAGTTATCTCCCCCCTGCTCTTCCAAATCAGCATCTGGATAAAGACAATGTGCAGACTCTGCCCACACTAGCAGTCAGAAGTACCTCCCCTTCTAATTGGAGGAGGCCCAAGGGAATGCCTCTCCCATAATTTCTCCTGTCTGACCCAATCAGGATAATTTCCATTTTTGCTGGTATTTAATCTCAGCCAGTTTCTACCCATCAGCAAACTTTGGCAATACTTTTTCTCTTTAAGTCTGGAGAGAATGAAAATCTGCACCACTGCAAATTCATATCAGTCCTAAATCTCTTCAAGAGGCAACATACAGGGAGTGACAAGTAATCCCAGCTACAACAGGCCCTGAAGAACATCACATACAATCCTAGTAGTACTGAAAATTCATCAAGCAAAACCAATTGGGAGCACTCACAGGTAAAAATCTAAATCAGTTCAAGATAGCCCCAGTCGTATTAATCCTCTAGCACCCAAGTGCTGTACCCAGGTCTGCTGATCCACACTATCAAAAACTGCCAAAAAATCTAATAACCATAGGAGCATATTAGTCACTGTGGTGAGCACAATAAAATCTGATTAACTAAAGTCAGTTTTTAAATGCACACTAGAGGAGAGATTCTCCCCTCCTTCTAAGGCCTTTATATGGCCTAAAAGGTCCTTAGTTAGCCGGGGGGAAATTCCTGCAACACAGGCACTGCATGTGCAAGTCTCAGAGCAGTGGCATGCTAGGACAAAGTCAGGAGCAGGAGGGAGTGGGGCCACAGAGCTATGAGGATTCAGGCAGCACTGCTAGCCATGGGCAGTTCAGGACAGGCTGTTGTAACTTAGACCAACCCACTGGCTGGCTGTTGCACTGGTGGCTGCATATGAAGAGTTCAAAGGTGGCATAAAGCCATCTTTGTCCGCCCTCCCTAAGGCCTCTCAGTGGTGCAGCACAAAATCTCACCCTATATTTTTATTCAGATTAATAATCAGTACATTACTGTATGTATATGGTGTTTATCAATTAAGCCTCAATTAAGGCTCATTAAGCCTTTCAGCCACAGTATTTTAGAATCTGCATACCCAATTTAAATATATATTTTCACAGCACTAATACTTGGAGTACTATGATCGTGAATGGAATAGCACAGGAAGCAACTGTGCAAGATTCCTGGATCACTTCATTAATGTACTTCAAACCTGACTTGAAGATAAGAAGAGACTTCAGCTTCTATAACCATAGAAAATTGTTTTATGTGCTTAATGTACTTATATAATGCTTTTTGCTATTGACACATAGCAGTGGCCTGAATGACCAGCAGCCAGCTTGGTCTTCACTTCGGAGAGGATTGAAATTTTAACAAGCAGGACCAGCACTGGAATTTTTGGTTTGCCTGCAAACAATGTTTTGCTGCCTTTCTCCACCCAAAGGTACTCAATTTCTCTCAGCTGTGATGTGTTCCCACCACAATGCATGGGGCATAAGGATTTTGGTGACGGCTAACTAAAAAAAAATTTTGGGATGCACCTCAGATGTAACTAACTCATTTTACAGAGAAGGTGTGTGGTAGGTTGGAGTCTGGTTCTATAAATTCCCCAGCCACCTGCTGCAGAGATGGAGTCTAGCAGCATGTTCTTTTTGACATTCATAATCAGTTTGGGTTTTCCAGGCAATCTCTGCAAGAAAAGGAACTAGACATTGACTTTTTTTTCTTTCCAAATGAAAGCTGATTCTTCTTGATGCTATTAACAAGGAGCTCATGTGAGCATGCTCCAGCTCGTTAATGACTGAAACAGCCCTGGAGACTTGGCTGTAGGTGTGTGAATAGGCACCACCATAAAACAATAAACCACCTTCCAGGAAAAACAAAAAGATAAAGAAAAACACCTAGCATTTCCCCTACCTTCCGGAAATCATCTTTACTAATTTTTCCATTTGGTTGCTTGTTGTAGGCAAGAAAGCTGTCTTTAATAGTTGCTTCCTGTTGTATCACACTGTCCTTGAGCCTTTCAATTACTTCATCAACAGTTCTATTCTTGGTATGCTTATTGGCTTGATCTTCAATCTGTTTCATTCTAAAATTGAAAGATTGCACATGAAAACAAGTCACTTGTGTTTTCTACTTTAAAACATTTGATTCAATAATTAACTGGATTATTTTAACAATAAACAGGACAATAACACCAGAAATATTCTTTTTGTGCCTAAACAAAGTTATAGTGAGAACAAATTAAGGCCCGTGCAGATCCCAACGGCCATATTGTGCAATCAGTTGTTAAGCAGAAACCCGTGTTTAAACTGATGTTTGTAAAAACTGATTGCATGATATTGCCACAGGCTATTTATTTTTTAATTGGAGACCACTCACATCTAAATATGGGAGCTGATTACCAGTTCATTTTGGATCTTCCGATTTCCCAGCCTCCGGGGAGCCACTTTTACCCATTAACATTTTTAACCACCATCATGGCACCCAACCCAATGCCAAAAAAAGTCTGATTGACTTTAAAGGGAGATGAATCAGGCTAATGTCGTCTTACCACCTGCTGGAAAGGTGCAACAATTGGTGGTCTTTGGAAATGGCATCAGTAATATTCTGTATATCTGCCCATAGGACATAGTCATATAACATCATGATTCACAGCTTCCCACTCCTAGTAACCCAAATAAGCAACCTCCACTTTTTTTCCTTTATGTGCAATGAGTGGATTAGCATATCCTTTCTCAGTTCTTAAAAGAAAAATCCCCAGACATAGAATATATAACCCTCCCTTTGAAATACTACAATCTTCATCAGCAAACCATTAAAATAACTCATGATTAAATATGCAATAACTTTTGAAGATAAAGAAGATGTACAATAAAAGTGTGTGTAATATGTCCCGGTTGCATCCATTTCACATTTGTTATGGATTTACTATTGTCCATGAAAACGTAAGTTAACACAATTATTTTTGTTAAGTCTGAAGGCATATATTTCTGTCTGAGCAAAATGCAGAATATTCAGCAGTCTAATTTTTTTTATAGATTTATTAAGTATATTTTATAGTACTCCCTTAACTTGATAATAACCTTAAAATTTTAACTTCTAGCACTAAAATATTTTAATGAAACACTTTCATTAACTGCTTTTAAATAAAGTATCACTAGTAGTTCACATAGAAAATTAAATCTAACATGTTTGAAATTCTGAAATGCATAATGATGAAAGTAAAGATGACTGACTTTGCTGATAAGCAAGGCTTTCTGACGCTATACTCTATAATCTTTGCTTTTCATCCACCACCAGGACTAGAATTTAGCTTTCCTAAATTCCAGGTGTGCACCTTTTCCACAGAGCCACACTGCTTCCAGCATGTCTTGTTTTCCCCAAACCCTAGGAATGGCTCACTGTACTTCCAGACAGGGCTGGAGAGAAGCAAGCATTGTCCCCACTGACACCCAATGGAATAGCCATAATCTGAATGAACTTTCCCGTACTCCTTCCTTGCTGGTGAACCCCCTTTAAGGGATGTAGCCTAGGGATTAACAACATTTAGGGAGCCCATTGGAGTTGTGTTACCAGTGTGGAGGACCAAGGAACCTGGAGATCTGTGCAAGATCTCAGAAGTTTTCACAGTTTTTAGGCTGAACTCACATTTTTTGGTGGAGAAATATACCCCACCCCATTATGGAAGATTTCACGGGCTCTTATACAGGTATTTCCACATAGATCAAAGCTTCAAGTAACTGAAGAGAAGTTGAATCGATGACTCAAATATCCTTGTAGCTTGAGTACAAAAAGGCATGCAATGATGCTATAGACTGAGAAGCCTTGCATACAGAAGCTACAGCAATCAGAATCAAATCAGTCTTGATTTGTGAAGCTCTGAGAATGCTCAACCGCAAAAGATGAAGTCTCAATGATTCCATAGAGATTCATAGTCTATACCTTAGGGTACGTCTATACTTACCTCCGGGTTCGGCGGTAAGCAATCGATCTTCTGGGATCGATTTATCGCGTCTTGTCTAGACGCGATAAATCAATCCCGGAAGTGCTCGCCGTCGATGCCGGTACTCCTGCTCCGCGAGAGGAGTACGCGGAGTTGACAGGGGAGCCTGCCTGCCGCGAGTGGACCCGCGGTAAGTACTTTGTAGTTCGAACTAAGGTACTTCGACTTCAGCTATGTTATTCACATAGCTGAAGTTGCGTATCTTAGTTCGAACTGGGGGGTTAGTGTGGACCAGCCCTTAGATGCTGTCTAGAAAAAACAAACCCTGAAAGCCTTGCTTATCAGTAAAGTCACTGATGACTTGGTGGGATGTACCCCTTTTGTAATATGTGAAGTAAGTTCAACAGTTCTTACTTGAGTCCAAAAGATTTTGATGAATAAACCATACATTTGCTCTTCTGATGCAATACTTTGAGGTCAGATTACTTAGGGATTATGCATAGACCCAGAGCTCTGCATAAGACAACACTTAGCATTTGACATATAGAGCAAATGCTCAGTCTTTTTGGAAGTTTCCTTTATAATGGTATCAATATTTTTAAATTTTAATAGGGAATCATCTGTATTGATAAAGCATTGCACGGTACCTCTCTGAAAGATCTGTTTGTCTTTTTTCTTCTCTCTGTTGACTTCCCTTTGAGATCTGTGTGCTGATACCAGTTAAGTCACCCGGTAAAACAGCAACTCCTAAGCTCTCCAAAAGCATCCTGTAAAGGATCCCATCAGGAGAAATATCTTGAAATTTATGGCATAGTCTAGAAAAAATAAAGAATTGAAATTAATGTGCACAGTTGAGAGTAAGGCACAATATGCATATTTTAAGGCAAAGATTATCAAAATAATGAGCTTCCTTCCTAGATAGAGGCAGTGTGTGTCCAGTGGTTAGAGAAGGAGACTGGGGTCACTCTGCCATTGACTCATGGGGTGATCTCTCTGTGCTTCAGTTTTATTCATCTGTGAAATGGGGAAACTAATACCCAGCGCACAGAGCTCAATTTAGCTTTATGAGACAATTCATATCTGTAAAGCTTTTGGGGATTCTTAGATGAAAGAATGGAAGGGAATGAAAGTGTATTATACTGTGAATCCACAGCATTCTGTTTAGTCTACAAAATAGTTATTTTTCCCCATTTAGACTTTTATTTAAAACCAGACCAACAAACCTGTGATACAAAATGACTTGTAACTTAAGATATAACACCCCCTCAAGCAAGCACTCTCCTTGTGATAAATCCAATCAAAACATTTTTTTATTTTAATAAATCTAATCTGCTACCCTAAACCAATAACAGGAGTGGGGGGAGGGGGAGGATCATGGAGAGAAAAGGGAGTCACCATGTTGTAACACCATCCAACCAGCTCCATCCAAATAAGTTCATCCTGCACATAGAAAATGGAACTCAGACACAAACACTAAGGAACCACATCTGCCTTGGAAATGTAATCTACAAAAGGCTTCCAAATGTCCTTAAAAATTGTCCCTTCTCTTCCTCAGTCTGAATGTCAACTCACAGGAAGCCATCTGGGACAGGCATGCCAACCATTCTGCCTCAGTAAAAGCAGCATTGTCCTCAAGTGCCTCAGGATGAGTCACATCAGTGCCAAAAGCCCAATTATAACTGAAGCCCCCAACAGCAGAAGTATCATTTAAAATCAATAAGACTGATGTGGCCGAAACACTGGAATTCAGAATGTAATTTATTCTCTTCATCGCCTTGCTCAAAAACCTTGTGTAATGCAACATCCCCAAAGCATCTGAGTTAAATCCTCAGTCTGGTTATGACAACTCCGACACAGATTTGACAGTCATATGTCCAATTTGTGCATGTTTAGAGGAGTCAATTATATTTTACTTATTATTTTAAAATACTGCATCCCTAACCTCTTTAGAGCTGTGAATGAACAGTGCCATCCACTGTTTCTATGCATAATCTTTTCCCACAATATTTTCCCAGGATGGTCTTAAATCCCCATTTGAAAAATGTGTGTACTGGTGGCCTGATGTGAGTAAAAGCATCTTTTTTTAAAGAATAAGGCCCAAGTCTGGTAGAATACCAGATGAATAGCAAATTATTTGCCAAGCAAGTTTTCATCTATGGATTTCAAATTTAATGAATCCCGATTTCTTATTTAGCCCTTAAAACAAACAAACAAAAAAACCCCAATCAAATAAGTCATCAATAGCAATAATACCTTGTTGAATATAAAACGTGCATTCATTTTAACCTCAGAATTGAATTTCTTCTTTGGTGTGATGAGGTGCGCCTGGACATAAACATCTCAGCAAAGGCCCTGATTCTGGATAGCCCTCAAGCATGTGCTTAAGTGCTGTCCTGAATAAAGATGCTTTCCAGAACCAGGACCAAAGTGTGGGCTGAGTGAGAGTTCATGCTCCATTAGGGTGACCAGATAGCATCTGTGAAAAAAACGGGACGGGGGTGGGGGTAATATGCGCCTATATAAGAAAAAATCCCCCAAAATGGGACTGTCCCTATAAAAATGGGACATCTGGTCTCCCTATGCTCCATGCCTGTGTTTGCTGCACAAATATATTTAAACTATCCATAGCTAGTACAACTGAATATCCTTAGAAAGTGGAATTTATACAGATTCTACAAAGGCCTCATGAATGCCCTCCACAATGGAAGTCAAACACTGTTGTCAGGTATACATTGTGTCATGTTGCGTCAGCGCCTATCAGGTCATTGCAAAATCATCCCATCTAATGCTTCTAGAAAGTCAGATCTTGCAAAGCTCTGAGCATTCTAGCCCCAATCCAACAAGCACATAAGCATGTGCTCAATTTAGGCCATGTTAGCAGTGCCATCCTCTGAGTATGTAAGTAGTCCCCTTGAATGGGACTGATACCATACTAAAACGCTTTTATGTGCATTGTTGGATCGTAGCCTTAGTGCTCAGCACCTTTCAGAATGAATCATTCAGGGCTAAGTCCTGTATCCACTGAAGACACTGGCAAAATATCTATTGACTGCAATGGTGGTGGATTAGACCCTAACGATGATTTTTTTTCCTGGTTTTCTTTTTTGGGCTTTCCCTCCCCAACATCATTTTCTGATACAAGATGTTGAAACTTCAAGTAGAAATCAATTTAGAATTTAAATTGGTTGTAATTCTGAACTCCACCCTGAGCACAGCTCTCCCATTGTCACAAATAATGGTTGAAAATAATCGTAAAAACATTATCTGGAGAAGTGTGTGAATGATGAGAGCCAGTTATCCAATACTCGAAGGATAAGTAATTGCTCATGATCAGTGGTCAATCTGTATATATTAAACAACACTGAGCCATAAAACTGACTGATGACAAAAAGGGTATATTTTTAATACAGTGTTCAGGGAGTTAGGTGCCAGACTTTTATTAACCCCATGCCTGGCACCCAAAGTTTTCTCTACAAAATTCACAGAAAGGAAAATGGATGCAGTGGAATTTTATCTCAGTGATCACACTTGTACTCGTTCATATTTCAAGATCAAAATTATTTTCTAAAAGCCATTTCCTATTGATGCTGTTGTGTTTGCTCCTCACTTATTCTGATCATCAGGACACTGGGTCACAAGGTTCAGGCTGGCACGGATTTCTTTGATTTTCCTATGATGTTTTGAAAGGTAGGAAAGAATCCCACATCTTTTGGAGAATCACAGGGCTGCACGTAAAGAATGTTAGAGCTTGTAGGAGAGCAAATTAGAGCCAATTATAGCCTGACTGACATGCCACGGCAATAAAATGCCTAATACAATTCACTCCTCTTTTACAAGATATAGATTTTGATTCCATACACATATGTGATTTGGGATGTTCATTGTTTTTTAGATTGAGTTGTAGTTATCAATTGGGCAATGATCAAAATGACAGTTGACTATGTCATGTCCCAGTTTACAAGGGTTCTCCTAAAATCAAGGCACTCAAATTGTTCATTACAAGATACTACTGTAGAATATTACAACAAGATAATGTGGGTAGTTCTATTAATTTCCATTTGAAACAATGAATACTTTTTTTTAAAGATAAATTTTCCATCACATCCAATTTTCACTTTGAGGAATGGGCTTGTTTTACCTTTTTAAATTATCCTTTGAACCATATGGCCCCAATCTTGCCAGTGTTTCATTAATGGAACTTCCATGGAAATAAAGAGGAGATTTGCAATCTGATCACTTGCAGAATAGGGGTTACTGATTGGCCTGGTGGCATTTTATTTTCTCTAAAGCTTAAGGCAAATTGGAGTATCCCAAGATTCAAAACACCACTTTTTTAGAAACATATGGAGAGAAAGTTAATAAAGTTACATAAATTAATAGTCAGATGCCAGCAGCTTACTTTGTAAATTGTTCATCGGACAAAGAGGGACAATATATATGTACAATTTTTCTTAGCTGATTTCTGCTAATAATGCCTGTACATTTAGGGTCACAGGTCTGCAAAGCCTTGTGGAAGTCTTTCCAATTTTCTGTGATTTTATCCGAAAGAATGTCTTCCACCTAAAATGCAAATATAGCAGTCATTGAAATAAAAAATGTCTGTGGCGTTACATTGCCATATGTCAGTAATCATATAGTAAAAATTAAATAAACCCCTTAATTACAGAAAATCAACCCTTACTGAAGATAAACCTCATTATTACTTACAGTATCCCAAGCTAGAACAAGAGAAGGTGGCTTCTTAACTTCCTTTGTTCCATTAAGCCATTTATGACCCATCTAATTTAAAAAAAATGTTATTTGTATTAAAACTTTTTAGCACATTGTTTCCTAAGTAGTGTACAATGTCAGCCAATACATGTATTCTCAGGGTTTGAAAGTGTGGCTCTAATGTGAAAAGTGACTATGCAAAAATGGCACTTTACTACCCTGATCTGCTCCTTTTGTGAATTAAAAGTTACAGCTACTGACTTTGATAACAAAACAACATATTACTGCTGGTTACTCTCCAAAGCAAAAGTCGCTAAGATTGACAGATGAGCTGCAAGTTGGATAGCTGTCTCTGAGGGAATAATTTGAAGACAAAGGGATGGCACAGGTGAATGTGAGCGCAGAATCTGGTTCCCAGAACATAGATCAGGTTCCATTTGTGGCACTGGCAGTTAGAATAAAAGCATCTTTTTACTTGTAAACTGAGTACATTTAATACAAGAACTACTGAGATGCAACAGACACATGGGACCTTATTTTTCCAGAGTAACTGGGGTCAATACTCAGATCCAGCTGAGCTCTGTTCAGTGCAAAATCCAAGGGGAGACAAAGGTGCCTTTATGTCATTTTCAGATACCCCAGTCCTGGGGCCAGCGAGGAGCTGGTTTGGCTAGTTGGGGACCATCTTGGTTCTCAGCACTACTAGCATCTGCCTCAGAGCTGCTTTGACTTTCATCTGGCTGCAACAGAATCCCTCAGCCAGAGAATGATAGAGCACCACAGCATTCTAGAAAATCTCCCCTCCCTTTGGGTCTGCCCCCAAAGAATTCCCCTATGCCCAAAAGTGGGCAGGACAGAGTGTTACAGAGCCAGCTATGCCAGCTTTACATCACCTAGGAAATGAGTGGGTGGAGCCTTTGTATTTGGCTAGGCTGGCTTTGCAGCTGCTTTGCACCAACAGATTGGCACAACAGAGGTCAGAATCTGGCCCACTCTTCAGAGCAGAATCACACTTCAAGTGTGAAGTCCTAACTAGCATGGTTATCTCTGGTTATCAGCTGGTATCTTATCCCAGGATGGCCATGATCCCTGTTGCTCTCTATTTCTCTAGCCTGCCCTTCTTTATGCTAAAATTTACTTTATTTAGAACACTAAGTAGGCAGTAGAATTTCAACTCTAAAATGAACCCAAATAAGTTAATTTGAGCATCCAAATTCATTTGCATAACCCATTAGTATTTGCACTTTGACAGTATTTATATTTTTCCCCTCCAACATGTCAGTTTTATAATTATAAAAATGTGACCCAGACTCTCAGCACAACTATTATTCAATTCAAGAATAGGTAGAAGGGACATGAACGGATGAATCAATGTATCTATTGTTGGAGCCATCAGTACAGGATGCCGTCTATTTCAGTTCTACATCAAAGCTTTTCTCAAAGCAATACACACCATTCAAAACTATTCAGTAGGAACCTCTTTTTGTGCATCTAGTGCATCTCTTGACACTGCCAGGTTCTTTGATTCTTTCCAATGACACTAACTACACCAGCTTAAAACAAAAACTAAATAAAGATTTATTCAGATGAATAAATGTGAACCTAAAAGTGATCTAATAAAAATGTTATGAACAGCTCTAATATAATAAAGCAGTTACGAAAACTATAGATTAGACTACTTCGGAGTATAATTCAGTAAGCCCAAAAAGAAACTGACATACTGACTAGATATTCTGGTCAAAAGATACAGGATATAACCTCACTATATGTATGGTAGTGGTTCTAAAGGAAGATATTAAAAGATGACTACAAAACTCCAAAAATTTCAAAGTCATACTCATGAAAACACACAATCAATGGGTATTATAAATCTCAGAACCTGTGTATTATTATCTAATATAAATAGATAGAAAGAGCTCTTCTGCAAAATATCTGCAAAACAGTTTTGATGATTGAAATCTGGAAAGAGATACTTCCATCCCACACCTGCTACACACATGTACATGAACTTGTGATTACATTCCAGGGGGAGTTTCCAGAAACTTGAGGTAACTGTGAAATTGGTTCTCAACCCATGCTTCAGAGGCAAAAGAATCCAAGAGTGTGAATTATGTAGGAGTTTTACACTGCTGAAAAGCATATGCATTCACTAACTTAGATGAAGATTATTCAGAGCTTAGGGTTTTATTAAGAATTGTCCTGACACCTTGCTATAGACATTATAAAAAAGAAAATCCTTAGAAAAGTATTGATAAACACTTACTAGAGATTCCTTTTCTTCAAACAAGTCTAAAAATGTATGGTAGCTGAGGTACCCAGTGTGTTCTGGATCAATTATCTTGATTAGGTCTTGGAAGTCCTTGTCTCTTATTTGAAATAAGATGCAGTCCAAAACGCGACGAAGCTCATTTCTTGTGATCTTTCCATCTTGTTTCTAAAACAAATGTTTATGTGTGTGTGAAACGGAGTGAACAAATTTACTAAAAGACAATGTCTATTTTAAAACACTGTTCTGAACCTCTACGTCACACAACCCACAGTGACTGAAAGCTTTTAATATTGGTTAGCTTTTTGATAGTCTAATCAGTGGTTCTCAACCTATTTACCACTGTGGGCTGCCTATGCAGCTCTCTGTGTGTTACGTGGGCTGCATCCACGCAATATATATACACTATCTGTATGGCCCTGAAGATGTCACATGGGCCACAGCTGTGTGCTGATTGGGCTGCCAGCGGCCCCCAGCCCACAGGTTGAGAACCACCAGTTTACATGATGTGAATCTGGTGGTCTCAGTCCAGTTCTCAGTGGACAAGAGGATACACCACAACGGGAGCCCTTGTTGACAGTCACAGCAGAGGGACTAAGGTTATAGAAATTGAACTATCCTCTTACACTAGAAGTCAGGCCCTAAGTTCAGGTTTGTAATACGTTGGTGGAGCAGTATTAGGGAGCTTATAATATAGCTGCCTGTCCTGAACCTGTTCTGTGGAGAAACAGACAAAAGTCTTTGGTCTCCAAGATTAATTCAGCACCTTTCTGCAAAAATTAAATTGATGGTTTATGTTATGTAAGCACAAATAAACACACATACATACACACACACACTTTTTTTAAATAAAAAGGATGTTTTTGTTACTTCCCACCAGCTCTGTTACCCTACAGTGACTTGCTGCTGCCACTGGCCCCATCCATTGCCTTGGTGAAGAAGGGGAGTCCTTTAAAGGTTATTTGTGACTCGAATGAATTCCCACACTGCTCTCAGCAGAGAACATACATACAGGAGCGCCGCCAGCTTTTTTGCCGCTCTAGGCAGCAGAAGGTCCCGCCCCCGAAATGCCGCCCCCGACAGAGGCGGCGGAAGGTCCCGCCCCCGAATTGCCGCCCCCGACAGAGGTGGCAGAAGGTTCTGCCCCTGAAATACCGCCGACAACTGGGGCGGCCGAAGATCTGGCTGCTGCGGTCGCCGCCCCCAAAATGTTAGCACCCTAGGCGACTGCCTAGGTCGCCTAATGGGTTGCGCCGGCCCTGCATACATATATACATACACCCTGGGTTAGTGTCCCAAATTCACCCCCTATCAGGAGATTTCCTTTATTCTTAATATTAGAACAATAAAATACAAACTCCAACCTAAGCTTTTTTCTTGAGCTTATCTTTTCCTGGGGTTTTTTCCTCCTTGATCTCTCTGTCTTTGCACACAGGTCTCTCTGCCTTAGACAGTAATGCTAAGCTTTTTATATTCCTGGGTTGGAGCTAATAGGAACCACTGGGTCTGACAGTGAGAGTGACTTAGTAGAAATAATTCTGCATTTCTGTACAGAGTCCCAGCATGTGACACTCTGTCATACTATCATATAAATGTGTACTTTTTAAAGCATTTTATGCAATAAACAATGGAATGGGCTTATACAACAGTACTATTATATTTATGCATTGTTACAGTTAAGGCATGATTTTTGTTTCAGTCCCCATGACATATCTCCATAAGGTTTGAGGGAGAGTTTTAAACAGAGGTTAGTCTGTTTTTATCACAGTCTATTAGACCTTAGAATTTTATATTTTTGCTTGGACTTTTATTATATTTTGCTTCCCTTAAAAAAACAGTGGAAAAGGGAAGAAATGTAAGGAATAAATGCCTGGGAACAATAAAAGAAAAATGAATGGTAAACAATTTCTCCAGTGATTCATTTCTGCCTAAGCATGAGACAAATATTTTGCTGCTCATAAACCTCACACCAAGAAAAATTCTGTTTCCCTTTAGTCCCCTATAGAGATCCAGGGTGGCAGTAGTAATATACAGGATGAGCAATTATTTACTTCATCAGCTGGTTTGGGAAACACTTTGAAGTTTTGTAATCAAAAGATAATGGTCTTGTGAAACTGCTTTTCTGCCATCTGAATTTTCTTTAGAGACTGTTGTCAGTGCATTAAATCATACGGAAAAGAAACTTGATAATATATCTACCTCAGTGAATGTGTTAAGAAATTTGGTACAGGAGATACAAAAATTAGTTTTACTTTACATGAAAATATGTACCGTATAAGTGGAAGCATCTTCTCCACAAAGCTTAAACACAAAGATAACTTGTTTTTTAGTCATTGCTTTGATAATATTGAAAAAATAATATATATTATATTAGCCTTCAATCAGTGAGCTTTTTGATTGTTTATTTGACACCTAAAATCTCTAAAATGTTTTCAATTATGAGCTAGATTGTCACCTGGTGTAAATTAGCATAGCTCCAATTGACCTCACTGGGGCTACAGTGATTTACAACAGCTGAAAATCTGTATGCATCTCTATATGTGTAACAGTTTTGGATGTTAAGGATGAAGCTATTCCTCCTGCAGCCAGAGTTCTCTTTCTGCTGTCACAAACATCGGTATCTGTGTAAATAATTTCATTCATTGATGACCACTACAATAAAGCGCATAAGCATGTGCTTGAGTTCGTGATTAAGTGCTTTGCTGAATCAGGGCCCTAATGCTGGTATGTGTTATTACTATCTACTGTAATGAAGGAAATTAAACTCTCTTCTTTGTAAATTGCTAGGCAAATTCTTTCTGTTGTAGTGATTGTGTGTGTATATATACACACACAAACATATATGTAAAAACAACAAGGAGTACTTGTGGCACCTTAGTTACTAACAAATTTATTTGGGCATAAGCTTTCGTGGGCTAAAACCCACTTCATCAGATGCATGGAGTGACAGGTATATATACACAGTACATGAAAAGATGGGAGTTGCCTTACCAATGGGGGGGTCAGTGCTAACGAGACAATTCTTGAGCATTGGCCTGTTAAACCCAGGGTTGTGAGTTCAATCCTTGAGGGGGCAAAAATCTGTCTGGGGATTGGTCCTGCTTTGAGCAGCGGGTTGGACTAGATGATCTCCTGAGGTCCCTTCCAACCCTGACATTCTATGATTTAGAATTCAATTAAAGTGGAAGTGGGCTATTCTCAACAATAGAATACCAAGGGAGGAAAATCACTTTTGTAGTGGTAATGAGGCTAATGTAATCAGGGTGGCCCATTTCAAACAGTTGACAAGAAGGTGTGAGTAACAGTAGGGGAAAATTAGTATGAGGAAATTAGTTTTTGTAGTGACCCATCCACTTCCAGTTTTTATTCAGGCCTAATTTGATGGTGTCCAGTCTGCAAATTAATTCCAGTTCTGCAGTTTCACGTTGGAGTCTGCTTTTGAAGTTTTTTTGTTGAAGAATTGCCACTTTTAAGTCTGTTATTGAGTGTCCAGGGAGATTCAAGTGTTCTCTGACTGGTTTTTGAATGTTATAATTAGGGTTACCATATTTTGTGCCTCCAAAT